TCCCTGCTCCACAGGAAGCCTGTTTCTCCCTCCCCTTCCCCTGCCCCACTGCTCGTGCTCTATTTTAAATAAATAAATAAATAAATAAATAAATAAATAAATAAATAAATAAACAAACAAATAAATAAATAAATAAAATCTTTTTTTAAAAAGTGAGTGTAAATTTTAAGTACATAGGAAGAAAGCATTAGGAGAAAAAACTGTTAAAAGAGGTGTACAGCCCAAGGAGGGGAGAGACTAAGAGAACAATGGGAACTTTCATATTCTACTCTCTATATGCCCATCTTTTTTATTTCAAATTGTGGTCACACACACATAACACAAACAAAACTTACCATCTTAACTATCTTTAAAAAAAAAAAAAAGGAGATAGCTTACTGAATACACTGCAGGGAAGCGGTGGGCAGGACAACAAAACAGAGACTGTTCCTATCTTAACTGTCTTTCAGTGCTGAGTTCTGTGGTCTTAAGTATATTCACATTGTTGTGCAACCAATCTCCAGAACTCTATCATCTGGAAAAGCTGAAGCTGAAGCTCCAATTAAACAAGAACTTCCCATTTTCTTCTTCTCAAACCCCCAGTACTATTCTACTTCCTGTCTCTATGAATTTGACTATTCTCGGTATCTCATATGAGTGGTGCCCTTACATTATTTGACCTTTTGTATCTGGCTTATTTCACTTAGTATAACATCTTCAAGGTTCGTTCATGTAGTAGCATTTATCAGAAATTCATTTCTCGGGGCACCTGGGTGGTTCAGTCAGTTAAGTGTCTCTCTTCAGCTCAGGTCCTGATCTTGGGGTCCTGGGATCCAGCCCTACATCATGCTCCCTGTTCAGTGGGGAGTCTGCTCCTCCCTCTCCCTCTGCCCCTCCCCCTGCTTGTGCTCTCTTTTTAATAAGTAAAATAAAATCTTTCTTAAAAATTTCATTTCTTTTTAAGATTGAATACTATTCCATGGTTTGTTTCTATCACATTTTGTTCATTCATTCATTTTTTGAAAAGATTTATTTATTTATTCATGAGAGACACAGAGAGAGGCAGAGACACAGGCAGAGGGAGAAGCAGGCTTCATGCAGGGAGCCCAATGTGGGACTCGATCCTGGGACTCCAGGATCATGCCCTGAGCCAAAGATAAATGCTCAACCACTGAGCCACCCAGGTGTCCCTTTTCATTCATTCATTGATGGACAGTTCGGTTACTTCCACCTTTTGGATATTGTGAATAACCGCTATTAACATGGATGTGCAATTATTTCCTTAAGACCCTCCTTTTTTTTTTAAGTATTTACTTAAGTAATATCTACACTCAACACAGGGTTCAAATTCATGACCCTGAGATCAAGAGGTTGCTTGCTCTTCTGAGCCAGCCAGATGCCCCTAAGACGCTGCTTTCAATTCTTTTAGGTATGTACCTAGAAGCACTGGATTGCTTGTCTTGTTTTAATCTTTCATGATGAGAATGTGCTCATGTATTATTTGTATAATTTAAAATATACAAAGGAATAAGAAAGAAGTAACTATTAGAAACTGGCTTATGGGCATATAAAATTACAGATGTAGAGCAGTACCTGAATGTGGCCATAAGGAGAAATTATGTAAATCCAACAAATGACATCTTAGGGTTCCTCAAATTTCCTCAGTGACAAAAGAACACCTACAGACTCAACTAGCCCTGTTCCTTAAGCTATGGGCAAAGTTGGAGAATCAAATTGGATTTCCCAAATATCTTTTCCAATTTTCTGCCCCTATACTTTTATTGCTACAATTCTCTCCATTGATATCCTTTTCACCTGCCAACTTGATCCACATATCAAATAAATTTTACCTGTATATCACATGTTCTCTGCCTTCTGAAGCCTCTTTGAACATCCCGAACTACTAGACTCTTGCTACATCTGAAGCCCCGGGAACTTCATGCCTCTCTTAGGGCTCTTTTCTTCACAATATGAAGACTGACTGAGGCTCATACCTATCTAAATGGTTATGGAACCTCATCTTTAGATTTGAATTCAACATTAGCAAGCATAGGCCAAACACTCTATCAGCCAGAATTTAGGTTAGAATCCACAGTCAACATTTATTAACAAATACTTATTGAGTTTTTGCTATGAGTTTGGCACTATTATGAGAGCTGGGGACAGAAGGATGGACATGGTCCCTGCCCTCATGGAGTTTATGTGTATTTTCCTCCACAGGCCTTCCTCATTTGGAAAAATCAGGAATTCATTTTTCAACACAGGAAGTATGGGGTGCCTATAGGCAGCAATTGGAGATCACCACACATATACACATACACACATTTTAAATTCAACAAATATTTATTGGGTACCTAATATATGCCAAGTTGTGTGTTCACCACTGGAAATTTAACAGTGAACAAGACATCAATGTTTTTTCTTTCTTTTCTTTTTTCTTTAAAAGATTTTATTCACTTATTCATGAGAGACACAGAGAGAGAGAGGCAGAGACACAGGCAGAGGGAGAAGCAGGCTCCATTCCATGGAGGGAGCCTGACTCAGGACTCGATACTGGGTCTCTAGGATCACAGCCCAGGCTGAAGGTGGTGCTAAACCGCTGAGCCACCTGGACTGCCCTCTTTTCTTTAAAAAAAAAAAAATTTTTTTTTTTAAGTATTTATTTGAGAGAGGAAAAGCAGGGGGAGCCCAGAGGGAGACGGAGAAGCAGGCTCCCTGCTCAGCAGAGAACCTGACATGGGGCTCGACCCCAGGATCATGACCTGAACCAAAGGTCAACTCAACCAACTGAGCCACCCAGGCGCCCCTTTTTCCTTCTTTTTCTTTTTCATGACAGCTTATTGTGATATAAGTTGTATACTATACAGTTCACCGATTTAAAGTGTACAATTCAGCCACCTGGGTGGCTCAGTGTTGAGCAACTGCCTTTAGCTCAGGGCATGATCCTGGGGTCCTGGAATCCAGTATTGGATCGGGCTCCCCACAGGGAGCCTGCTTCTCCCTCTGCCTATGTCTATGCCTCTGTGTCTCTCACGAATAAATAAAATCTTAAAAAAAAATAAAGTGTACAATTCAGTGCTTTTTAGTATATTCACAAAGTAGTACAATTATCACCTCAATTTTAGAACATTATTTTCAACACCCCTTAAAAGAAACCCCTATAATCAGTAGCAGTCACTCTCCATTTCTCCCAACCCTTCCAGGCCTAGGCAACCACTTCATTCTATCTCTATCAATTTGCCTATCCTGGACATTTTATATAAATGGAATCATACATTATGTGATCTTTTATGACTGACTTTTTTTCACTAAGCTTAATGTTATCAAGGTTCAATCTATGTTATGCATTTCTCTTAATTTTAATTGACAAATCATATACCATTGTACAGCCATACTGCATTTTGCTTATCCTTTCATCAGTTAATGCACAGTCGGGTTATTTGTCCATTTCGGCTGTTATGGAAAACACTGACACAAACATTCACCTACAAGTTTCTGTGTGGCCATAAAGCTTTCAATTCTTTTGGACATATACCTAGCCCTGAGAATTGCTGGTTAATATGGAGAATTGCTGGTTAATATGGAGAATTGCTGGTTAATATGGTTAATATAATAGCTCTATGTTTAACCTTTTGAGGAACTACCAGTCCACTTTCCAAAATGGCTGTCCCATTTCACATTCCCACCAGAAGCCTACAGGCTTCTATCCTCCCCCAAACTTATTATCTTTTTCATTATAGCCATCCTCCAAAATATTTTTTTTATTTTGAGATCATTTTCTTTTCTTTCTTAAAGATTTTATGTATTTATTCTTGAGAGACACAGAGGCAGAGACACAGGCAATGGGAGAAGCAGGCTCCCTGCGGGGAGCCTGATGCTGGGCTCAATCCCAGGACCTCGGGATCACCACCTGAGCCAAAGGCAGACGCTCAACCACTGAGCCACCCAGGTGCCCTTTGAGTTCATTTTCCATGTAAAGAATTGCAAAGTTGGGCACAAAGTTTTGGTAGATCCTCCCCCCCAAATGTGAGATGCCTCCTATTTCGAAGAAGATGGAAATAATAATAAGAGATCACATCTGGTCTTTCTTGTCCTAGGTGCATATTAGCAGCTTTAGTAAGTCAAGGCAAAGGCTGTTTGGAACAGAGTCAGGGGCAGCGAGAAGAGGGTCGCATCCAGGCGCCCAAGGTAACAAAAGCAGGAGGCAGGGGGATCCCTGGGTGGCGCAGCGGTTTGGCGCCTGCCTTTGGCCCAGGGCGCGATCCTGGAGACCCGGGATGGAGTCCCACGTCAGGCTCCCGGTGCATGAAGCCTGCTTCTCCCTCTGCCTGTGTCTCTGCCTCTCTCTCTCTCTCTCTCTCTCTCTGTGACTATCATAAAAAAAAAAAAAAAAGCAGGAGGCAGAGGCCCTTAGCGAGGTCACGCCCGGAGCCCCAGGGACTTCCTGACACCCCGCACCCCTGGTGGTCTCATCACACCCTAGCAGCCTTTGATTTGTTCTCTCCTCCACCCAGAGCCCCTGAAAGTCCGGGGAAGCTCGGGTAGTGCTTCTAAAGGCTCTTTTATCCCCCACCTTTACCCCTAAAGCCCTTAACGAAACCACCTGAGCGCCACTTCCCGGAGCGCGGGACACCAGCCCCAGCCCGGGAAGCCAGGCCAGGCCACACACCCAACGCCACACCCCGACCGCGGACCTGCTGGAGCCGCCGGGGACGCCTGACACTGGTTTCCGATTGGTCGGCCGCGCACGAGGGCCCGCCTCCCGGAGGTGGCAGGGCGGCCTCCGGGAGAAGCCGGGTCACCGCCTCCGCTGGGGGCCGGGGGCCGGGGGCCGGGCCCGAACCCCGACCCGGGGCTCCGGCAGGTTCTCGGCAGGCGAGGCCCGGCGTGGGAGTACCCTCCGCCAGCGAGACGAGTCCCGGAGACCTGATTAGGAGAGTCGCGAGTCCCTTGGTCGGCCCTCCGCAGCGACGCAAGAGACGGGGTGGGGGCGGGGCGGGAGCGCCGGTTCCCGCCCCGGAAGCGGAAGTGCGGGCGAGGCGGGGTCCTGTCCAGTGCGAGCCCGGCCGGTGCGCCAGCCGTTCCGCCCGCCGGTCCTTTCGCGCCCTCTCCGCTGCCCGTGTCCTCCTTCACCGGCCGCGCCATGCTGTCTCTAGATTTTTTGGACGATGTGCGGCGAATGAACAAGCGGCAGGTGAGGTTGGCCGCGCCCTGCCTCCCGGGGCCCCCGGGCTCCCTTTGACGTCGCGGCGGCGGGGCCCGGCGGACCTGCGGCCGCCTGGGCGAGGGCTTGACGCCCGCGTTGTTCCCCGGCTTTGTGGAGCGTGTGGCCCGAGATCTCTTTGTTCGCCCCCTACGTGCGGCCCCTGGCTGCGTCCGGGCCTGCCAGGGCCGCTGCGGAAAGCCGGCTCTTCACCTTCCAGTCCTCCTCACGAGGCAGGAGGGCAAATGGAAACCGCAGGGCGCTTTCTCAGCGGGACTTGGGGTTGCTTAGCCTTTGAGACTCGGGGTGGCGGCAAACTCGCGTGTTCTGCCATCGCGGCGACTCCAGACTGATTCCGGCGACTCGGTTTAGCAGATCAGTCAGTGCTACCCTGGCTTCTGGGATGCTCGGGAAGGCGAGTGTAGGCCCCATGGAAGCCGCTGTGCCGCTCCCAGCCCACAGCAACCCTTCGAGTGCAGCTGGGCCCCCGCAGGCCGCAGTGCCTTTCCCGGGACCACCTCCGTGTTCAGACTTGGAAGAGTAGTCATACTTACCCCTGAGTCCGCTTAGCGGGAAGGTGGCAGTCCTCGGAGTCTTCGGATTTCCTGCCCAGTGTTAGTGGCACAGGGATCTTGAGATTCCGATCCTGGGATTTGGTCCTTAAACCTTACTCCATCCTGAACTTGTAGACCACATGCCAGATGGTACTGCAACACTGTTGTAATTATTCAGTCATTAGAAAAGGTAGCTCCTCCGCATGAAGTGGGTGTGTGTAGAGCCTAGTTTTGCTTGCCTCCTTGGGCCTGTTTATAGTATTTCACCGTTAATGATTTAACATGTCACTATTGAAGATGTTTCTCTTGGCCTTGTATTTTACAGTATTTACAATTACCATGCAGGGAGGTGGATGTGCACCTTTCCCTAACTCCCCTTCAGACTTGGCCTAGCTCAATGTCACCTCTTAGACGTGTTTTGTAATTCTTCAGTCATAACTGATCATTCTTTTCAAATGGCACGAAACGTTTGTGTCTTTATGGTAACACTTCAGATTCTTGTTGTATGATGTCTTCTTCATATCTGAATTTCTGGGTGCTACAGACATTTCTCTGAAGAAATACTTATTTTGGGCGTACTATTCATTGTAACTTATGTTAGGTACAGTGAGAGAAATGCAGAGATAAATGAGACAGACTCGGCCTCAGCATAAGTGTAGAAAATGACTAAGACAAATAACTACTTTGAGTTCTTGTGTGTGTGAATTGTTTTAAATACCTATGAGGTAGGTAATGTTACTCCCATGATACAGGTGAAGAAAATGAGCAACCTTCCAGAGGTTGCTAGGAACGGACGGGAGGAATTAGGTAGCATGGCCATGGAATGAGGGAAAGTTATGAAATGAGATTTTACCTGTACATGACATCTGGGGAAAGAATTGGCAGTGACTGTAGATACTGAGGGCTGATCAGAGGAAAGAAGGAAACTAGAAGTTTGGTTCTGCTCTTCTAAAACTGCTGTTATGGGGGATCCCTGGGTGGCGCAGCGGTTTGGCGCCTGCCTTTGGCCCAGGGCGTGATCCTGGAGACCCGGGATCGAATCCCACGTCGGGCTCCCGGTGCATGGAGCCTGCTTCTCCCTCTGCCTGTGTCTCTGCCTCTCTCTCTCTCTCTCTCTCTCTCTCTCTGTGTGTGTGTGTGTGTGTGTGTGTGACTATCATAAATGAATAAAAATTAAAAAAAATAAAACTGCTGTTATTTGCATAACTTTGCCATTTATGCTGAAATAACATCAAACGTCTGATTAAGTTGTTTGAGTTGTAATTCTTTTTTCTTATCAAGTTGAAGGGGAATACTTGAGTACAATGAGCTTCATCCATTTAAAGTGTACCATCTAATAAGTTTCCATAGTTCTATCCAACCATCTCAAGATAACAGCACATTTTGGGGCACGTGAGTGGCTCAGTAGGTTAAATGTCTGCCTTTCACTCAGGTCATGATCTCAGGGTCCTGGGATCCAGCCCTGCATCAGGCTCCCTGCTCAGTGGGGAGTCTCCTTCTCCCTCTACCCCTAACCCCCACTCATGTACACATATGGGCATTCTCTCTCTCTCTCTCTCTCTCTCTCTCTCTAATTTTTTTTAAAGGTAACATTTCTATCACCTACAAGAGCCCTTGTGCTCCTTTGTAGCTCATCTCTTCTCTGACACCTGGCAACCACTGATTTACTTTTTGTCAGTATAGACGGACTTGCGTTCTATATACGTGGAATCACAGAGCTTGTATTCTATGGAGCTTTGAGTTTCAGTTGATTTTTTAACACCAAACTCAAGACTTTTGTTGATTATATGTAATGCAATTTCTTTGGTCAGCCTCATGGTTTCGAAAAATAAAGTGTTTAACTACCTTTACTGAATTCTATGCATTGTTGCCATATTAAAGTCCTCTTTCCTGCCTTCAAACCTTCAGTAGCTCCTTATTACGTTAGAGGTAATGGCCCATACCTTTAGAATGGCATTTGTAGTAAGTCCCAGTCATTTTACAGTCTGCCATTTCTCACTATTTCAGTCTTGTCTCAGTTTACTTTACCTGTCTCATGTCACTGTCTCTGTGAGCATTGTTCAATTCAAAGATCATGTGCTTAACTGTCTTTAGAACTCCCCTTGTATTCTTTCTGAGTCTTTGTGGACTATCCTAGGATATTAGGTGATCTCTACAGTCCTTTTAGCCCTTATACTATTTTATTTGTCTTTTCCCCTTTGGAGTATGGCTCCTTTACTGGAATATCCGATTCACTGTTTTCCTGAGGCTTTTTTAACCCCCAAAGCCCTGATTGATCTAGTTTGCCTATTTCTGTGGTACAACTACACCCAACATGGCTGATTTCACACTACTAACATGACATCATGGAATATAGCATTAGGAAGAGAGGTGGTAACGTGCAACTTTAATTTCTACCTTATAGATAAAATAGAAAAAAATCCTTGAGCATAGATGATGATAAATTGTAGTAAAATAGGAACTGATGAGTTTAGGTTATTTATTACCTTTGTTTTAAATGTAATTATACTAATTTTTAATAACATTGTTTAACAACCAGCTTGCAAAACTCCTGAAAATTTAGCAAATTGACTCCAGCACACCACTAGTTATAGGTTAGTTTCTGTTTGTTTTGTTTTTGTTTTTAAAGTTTTATTTTTAAGTAATCTCTACTCTCAATGTGGAGCTCTAACTTACAACCCCAAGATCAAGAGTCAAATGCTCTCCTGACTGAGCCAGCCAGGCACTCCCAGTTATTGGCTAGTTTTTTGATGCCCATTGTGGTGACCTGTGTGTTCAGAAAAGCCTGTATTTAGAGTTATCTTTCATTTTAAAAAATGTTTGGGTGCATAGGTGGCTCAGTCAGTTAAGCATCTGGCTTTGGCTCAGATCATGATCTCAGGGTCCTGCTCTGCAGGGAGCCTGCTTCTCCCTCTGCCTGCTGCTCCCCCTGCTTGTGTGTGTATCTCTGTCAAATAAATAAGTAAAATCTCTTAAAGAATAAGGTTCGATTTGTAAAAGCTAAAATTTTAGAACTGAGTTCTTAAGCTTTTCAGAATCAGTTTACAAATCTTATCCTATGTAAAGGCTAGGAAATTAAAAAAAAATTAATCACTTTTAAGGGCCTTTGAATATTTGGGCTAATTTACAAACAAATGGGTATGTACAGCACAGGGAACAGATATGTCCAGATTTTTGAAAACTAATATTCTTGTTTAGGACCTGGAAAATGTTACAGACAGGATGTCTGCATTCAGTAATTAATTGCCAAGTTTCAGTGTAGAAATACTAACCTCAGTCTCCAATATATAAACAAGGAAATCAAAAGTAAAATTTTATTATAAACTGCACCTTAACCTCCATGAGCATATTCTCAAGCATCCAGAAATCATTCTTTGTTCTGTGTAAGTTTGAGCAAAATCTAGAATACAGCACCATAATAAGGATTAAGGCATTTATTTGCAGTAGTTCCTAAATACTTCATATTTCTTAGTTTTGGGGGGGTTCTTTTTCAAAATATTCTCTCCATGAACATGTATGATTATTCATTCCCATGGCCAAATGGCACAAGCCTACAACGATAAAGATGAGCTCTACTTATACAGAAATTGTGATTATGCCTCTTTAAAGAGTTGTCTTTTCTGACTTCAAGGAACGAGATGAGGTGTGGTATGTAAATATACATTGTGCACAGAGACAGCTTTATCTGAAAAACATAGTTTATCGGTCAGAGTTTAGCAGAACCACTATGAATATTGTAGAATTAAGGATTTATTGTAGGAATTGGATCTTACACAATTGTGGGAGAAGCTGGAGAACAGCCTAAAACTGAGAGATGGAGGATCAGAGAAATGTTATTAACCAGCTCTTCTGAAGCACTGTTATGGGTGAACAGATCCAAGCTTGCCATGGCATCTGGGGCTGGATTCTGTGTCTGGTTGGTGGAGTGGGACCACACCAAAAGAGAGTAGTTGAAGTCTGTGGATGGCTGTTGCTTCTACTAGGTTCTGTTACTCAGCCAGAAGAGCTAGGTATGGGCAGGAGAAAGCAAGGGCACACTGGGTTATAGCCAGGCCCTTCATGGCTATTGCTCACCACCTCTAATCACAGTGACCTTCAACATAGTAGCAGCTGCTTCCCTTTCACCTTCCAGATCTTGGGCACATTTCCTTTTTTGGCCAACTTTAACCCAGAACCCTACAGAGAGGGGGACTTGGGGACACTTAGTTCTAGCTTAGCCAAGTTGGCAAAGTACAAAACTGCTGTAGTCTACCCTTTGTCAACTTGGCAACTATACACGCTTCCTCTAATTTTTCAAACCAAATTAAAGGCAAAATTATGCTTTTGTCTAATATATAGCTATGCTTTGTTTCTGTAATTGGTCATGTGTTAGAGCTGTATTCTTTCTTCCATTAACCATTCCATATTTCTTCTGCTTTCAGCAAGAACCTAAGTTGG